TGTTGGGGGCAATATGCTGACTCTCTGTAAACCGCTTAGAGAGAGCTGAAAGCCCTATGAAGCGGTATATAAGTCTACTGCTATTGCTATTACCACCTATACTGTACCTGTGCATTTCGTGTTTCTTGCCTAAATGTAAAACCTGACTTTTTTCACCTTTGAATTTCATTTTATTAGATAGTGCCCAATGTTCAAGTTTGTCAAGATCCTTCTGTATCTTAAGCCTATCTTAAGAGGATGGAGAAACACAGAAGGCAAGTGAGGGAGGAAGGGAGCCTACAGAAAAATCAAGATTTGGGGCACGGCCCTAACGCTGGGCCTCCCCCTTTTTCCTCACCTCTTTCAACTTTCCAGTGGTGAAAGTGGGCGAAAGCACTGTCCGAATCCTCTTCCACTTCTCGTCCTGGGCTCCCGGAAGGGAGGTCTCTAGCTTGCCCCGTGGAATAAAATTCTAAGGGTCACGTTTGAGAAAGAGAGAAAAATGGAACACACGCTTTTGAACACACCATTGGGATGTCCATCGTGACTCCCCGTCCTTAAAACTAGGCAACGCTATTAAAGCCAAGTTATAAAACTCAGCGAAACTCTACCATTCTACAAAAAGTCCTCTCTAGGCTCACACAGATGTTGGCTTGCAGGCCAGAGGTGGTATTTGCCGGTTCTCCGAACTACTCAAAATGTCAGCTACTGGTTCTCCAGAACTGGTCAGAACCAGGGGGTGGGTTCCTAACAGCGTTGGTACTAGTTCGCTTTGTGTGCGCATGCGCAGTTAACTGTCATTTGTTCTGCGCATGCACGAAGAACATGAAAAACTACTAAAAAATATGCTGGCAACGGCGATCAAATAAATGGTTCGTGGGCGTGGCCAGCCTGGGTCACTGCCGGTTCTGTGATCAAGGCGAAATTTTAATATTTTCTAAGCAATCTAGCTATACCGACTTCCAAGCAAGCTTCCTATCTCCACTTTTAACTGGTTGATGCATTAGGACAGATCCTTCCTAAGATTCTTCCTTTAAGCAGCCTGGGGCTTCAACTTCTCTTATCTAATTGTTTCCTAAATAGCATCTCTATCCTTCTTTCCCCCAAGGTCATTCACACATTCCATTACATCCCGATCACATAAGCAGGGACTTCTGGAATGATAGCAGGGATGGCATTAACCTAACTTGGAAGTGTGGGAGGAGAATGGTTCCATAGGGGAAATTACCTGAGATGGGTTTCACTTGCCTTCCCTATTGCAAATGTAAGCACATGTGCTTCGTCTATGCATGCACAGTGCTCGGGCATTACATCGGTGCGAGTAGGCGGAGCCTCCTGCAGCCACTGCTACCGGTTCGCCCAAACCAGAGACAACCGGCTGAATCCCACCCCGTTGGAGAGAAAGCCCATATTCATGGGACTCACCCAATGTAAGTCCCTGGCAGAAGGTCCCTACAAGATACCTTCTCTTGGCTTCTCACTACCACATGCCGATTAGGTCTATAATCAAAGCATTTATCTCAACGTTGGCCTACTGTTTGCAAAGTTGAAACTCACCCCACGATTCAGGAAGGTGGAATAACTTTCTTTTACCAGTACAATTTTAATTAACTCAGGGTCCGTTATAGCCAGCATCGGCTGTCGTCCATCATAAGTCCTAGAATGAATGGTCAATGGGTTAGTTGAAGTCTGGCAAGAGTTACATATATTCATGTATGTGTATGTGTCTGTCTCTGTGTGTGTGTGTCTGTGTGTGTGTGTGTGTGTGTATATATGTATATATATATATANCTAGCTGATGAGAGCTAAATAGCTCGAAATAGATCTATACTAGTCTCCCTTTATTTATTTGTCAGCACAAATGCAACATACACACACACAGAGACAGTATATATGATATTCAAAAGCTAATGGCCGAGTTTAGTAAAAGTCTTCCTCATCTCAATCCATGGTAGATGCTGCAAGCATTTTTCTACAACCTACAGATATTTTGAGTAGCAATATTCATAATCCCTGAGAGGTATGCTGGCCAATGATTATGGAAGCTGTAGATTGTACTGCAGTGCATCTGGAGAACACCAAGTTGATGAAGAACTTCAGAGAAGAAAAATGTCCTATCTTTTGGTCACAGTTCTCTATATGGAATATAATCAGATCTCAAAAGCAATGGTCTTCTGAGATCCTGGGTGCATCCCCAATTACCTACATTCTCTAATTATGATAATGGGGATACCCATGATACCTTTTTTGCCACACACATTTTTGTACTTTGAAATATATAAATTAATAAATAAATTGGAGTTTATAGAATTGGAAAGGGGGATTTAAACTATACTGTCCAGAAATTCAAATTAAAGCATCCTTAAAAATAGCTGTCCATTTTCTGCTTGAATCTGTCCAAAAAGGGAGTCATCATTACCTGTCATAATGGCTTCTACTGTTCTCATAGGTGTGTTTAAACATTCAGTTGATATTTGCCTCCTTGTAACAACCCCCCCCCCACTATATATCTTGAATTCAAGGCTTATAGAGTGTTTGACTTTCTTTGGAGTTGTTTCTTTTTAATCATTTAATCAGTACTATAGTATCTGATCCCATGTTAAATTTTATCTTCTAGAGGTTTTTTTTAATCTGTCCTCAGCTTAGTTTCTGATAATCCTCACTGCCTTCCTATTCTATGTTCTGAAATCCTTTTAAAATGTGTTGAGCAGAACTGAATACATTATTTGGAAAGGATTTGCCCAATCCATCAAAAAGTAAAACCATTGAGTCCTAGAATTTTGAAACAGTATTTTTGTGGATAGAGCCTCAAATTGCATTTTCCTTTTTGGTAGCTAGATCCCACTGTTCATCTGTTGGAACTATAACTATTATTACAACACCTGTCTCACAAGTTATGTGGTCAAACCAAATATTCTATATTGGTGCATTTTATTTTTTGAGTAAAGAACCAGTGAGCCTTGATTTCATATTCAGAGAACTAAATATATTGAGTGCCAAGCTGAATTCCTAAATGTGTTGGCAGGACCAAGAATAGGGTGACCAGACGTCCCACATCTGGCGGGACAGGCACGACTTTTCATCATTTTTCCCATGTCCCGCCCAGTTCTCAAAAAACCCCGCTTTATTTTGGCTCTCGCTGGCTCCCCCGCCCATCATCAGCTGCCGCTAGCTCGCTCGTTCCGTTCCCCCATCTATTCTATCTACACTAAAAATATAAGCCAGCCCAGCCTGCCACTCACTGATTGGCCTGGACTCCAGCCAATCAGTGAGCTGGCTGGGATGGAAAACTTTAAGCACACATGAGGCGTGCTTAAAATTTTCCATCTCAGCCAGCTCACTGATTCGCTGGAGTCCGCTTAAGCACGCCGCACGAATCGCGACTCTCACGAGTCTCCATTTCATTTTGCCTTCGCCATTTGCTTTTGCTGCACTGCCCTGGTGAGTAACTCCGGCGGAGCTGGTGGGAATCGGGAGGCTTCGCCGCTTCGGGTGGGCGGCGGCGGCCTTTAGCAAGGGAAGGGAAGGCCTTCCCTTGCAAGCTACTCATGAGAGGAACTCGGGGGGGGACGACGACCGGGCAACCTGAGAGAGGGGAAGAAGATCATCCCTCCCCGCAACTCCCCAGATTTTGGAAGCTGGGTGTGTG